AGCATTTCCGTAATAACAAAGCGACGGGCTCATAGTCACCAGCTCAGACCTTCAGGCTGCGGGGGTGGGGGGGGCTTCACTGTTCACTGCTCTGTTTGGAGCTGAGCCTCATATGGTGGGCGGTCGGCCCATGCCATGGCAACGACTCCCACGTTGCCATGGTGACAACCCCAGCACTGCCATCATGCAATCAGCATAGCAGAGGCCCTATAGCTGTAGGGTTTATGTTTCATGGGGCTGCTGGGTAGTTAGTTGAATTAGTGACTTAAGTTAAGAGTGACAGTTAAGTGTTTTAAACTAATAAGGGGAGGTGGGTTTTATTTCTGCTGAAGCTGATTTAACCCAGTGCTGGGGGTGGGTCTGGGTGGTCCCTAGAGCAGATGTTGAGTCACATGACATAGGGCGTCATTATCACAGGGACATAGCCCTTGGTGACCTTTAACCTCTGGTGGCGACACGAGCGATGCAAGGCAGACAGTCTGACTAGAGGTGGATTAATGAGAGACAGGATGCCCCGCATGTGCATTTAACACTTACACTGCCGAATCAATAACTGCTGATCCAGTGGAAATGTAGATCAGCTGAGTGCGTTAAAATGCAGAAAAACCATTAGGCAGGGTGGACACTGGGAAACAGCATAGAATGGTACCCTTTTGGGGAATGGTACCCCAGTGGGGAATGGTATCCAATTGGGGAATGGGACCCCTTTGGAGAATGGTACCCCAGTGGGGAATGACACCCTAGCAGGGAATGGTACCCCTTTGGGGAATGGCACCCTAGTGGGGAATGACACCCTAGCAGGGAATGGTACCCCTTTGGGGAATGGCACCCTAGTGGGGAATGGTACCCTAGCGGGTAATGGCACCCCATCACCCTGTTGGTGAATGTCACCCCATCGGGGAATGGTACTCTGTCGGAGAATGGAACTCATAAGTCTACCCTGTAAGCAGCACCTCTCAGTGGATGAGTATATTGAGGAGATTTCAGCCCTTTTATCCCAACAAGTCCCAACGGAACTGATCATTAGATCGAGGGATGGTGGTTCTGTCCCCTGAGATGGGCTAATCACGCTAGCTGGTACTAATGGGACCAATTTACCCAGTTTTTTTTATTAATGGCCATTAAATGGCCGCTTTCATCAGCGCTGGCCAACCTCTTATTAATGTAACTCTCATTCAGAGGCTGTGCTTTTCCCAAGAAAAGCGAGGATGCTTCGCAGGGACCACTGAGCGGGATAAAGGAGGGCCGGCCGCAGCCCAATGGGCATTTAGCTCTTTCACACGGCGCGGGCGGGAATAAAGGCAGCCCCTCTGGGTCCTTGGTGCCGGGGGGGTGTAGAGGCCCATGCGGACGTCCGTCTGAAGGGAGGCATTGAATGGGCTGATTAGCATTCGATACGGCGAGGCAGCCTCAGCGCTCAGGCTCCTGGTTTGTTTTACACTTTCTCTCTCGTTTTTAAAATCCGTGCCTTTCGGCTAAAAGGCTGAACGCGAGCCTCTTTCAGGGCACGGAAAACGGGCGTCCGTTTGAGGGCCCGAGGTGTGGGTCACGCTGGGGAAAAGGCCGGCCGTTTAAACCCTGTCTCAGCAGATCGAGTGGCAGCTGCGGCTCCAAACTTCGACCCGTGTGGATCGATAAAAATAACGGTGTGTTAGGTTATGCCGTCACGGGGAGCTGGACCATCACACACGTTTCTGCTCCCACTTTGGTCTTTTTTAAAAAAAAACTGACAAAACACTGACAGCTGTACCTTCTGAGGCTGACGCATGGATCCTCAGAGCATATTCCAGAAGCTTTAGATCTGATTAGTCTGGATGGAGATGCTGAGGTCCATATCTCTGATCTTTAAGTACATCTGACCCCAGTGGGGGAATCATGGCAGATGGCCCCCATCTCCCCACTGCCTGTAGTTTTACCGGTTATGGAAGTGTCTTGTGTGTATATATTCCTGTCTATGGAAATCGCATCTCCAATTGGGTTCCCTGGTGCACCTTGTGTTTCCGGAATAAATTCAGTCGCATTAAATATCAGCCAACTAACTGGAATACCCCCCTAGGCCTTGCAGTGACACCGAGTCATTGCCCTCAGTGATGCTCCCCCCTCACTCCACTGGCCTATTCTTGGTCCCTAATGCCCCCCCCGATGTCCCTGTGCTGATGTCACTGCTGTTCCGCATTCCTCCCCCCTGCTGCTTCTCCTAAATCAGGCTCCGCCCTCCCACCGTGTGAACCCTGCAGATTTGCCTGCATCGTGACCCCAAAGCTGCTGCCCCCCGTGTGGGTCACACACGCTGCTGTGGATGTCTCAGGTCACAGCAGGTACACTTTGTGGGCTCTGGGGCTCAATGACTGTGATATTTATATCCTGTCTTACAGGAGAGGCTCACATGTTGGGTTTTTTGATACTGAAAGAACCTCCTCCTCTCGCCACTCCTCCCTTTCCTCTATCTGCTCTACCTCCTTCTCACCCACTCCTCTTCTTCTCCCCACTCCTCTTCCTGCTCCTCCTCCTCTCCCTGCTGCCCCTCTGCCTCATGATGCACTAGAGTCTGAAAGTAGAATCTGTTTACCCGTCACTCAGAAACACAGACAGGAACGCCTTGTGTAGTGTTTACTTGTCGGTGATGGGGAGCAGATCGAAGATGCTGTTGAACATAGCATTTGAGATGGCAGCACCTCCTTTTCCATAGAGTTTGAGATGCCTTTTTCTGTGGAGTATAAGATGTGCCCACCCAGGCAGCACCTCCTTTTCCACAGCATTTGAGATGCTTCTGCCAGGCAGCACCTCCTTTTCTGTAGCGTTTGAGGCGCTTCTGCCAGGCAGCACCTCCTTTTCTGTAGCATTTGAGGCACATCCACCAG